TGAAAGTTATCAAAAAGTGGCTAACTAGTAAAATGTTGCTGATATCCTGATAAACATTTTACTAGTTAACCACTTTTTGATACCTTTCAAAAGAAGTGAGATATATAGGCTCAAAGTGGACGATCCGGGTGTCGTTCTATTAGAGGTTTTACGGTGGTCCACCCAGAATCTGGAGAAGACTAAATATGGAAAAAAAAGAAGATATTTTTCTACAAAAAAAGCTTGGAAATATTTCCCAGAATGTATAAGATATTTTTGAACTAGATTTGAGAATTTTCAATATGGTCCATCCAGAATCTGGAAAATGCTAAATATGGAGAAGACCAAATTCGGAGAAGAAAATGAGATTTCTCTCTAAAAATGTTTGGAAAAGGGTTTCCAAGATATTTAGGACATTTTTGAACTAGATTCCAAAATTTTGGATATGGCCCATCCAGAATCTGGAGAAGACCGAATACGGAGAAAAAGAAGAAATTTTCTTGTAAAAAAAATTTGGAAAAGAATCTCCAAGATATGTAGGACACTTTTGAACTAGTTTCCAAAAATTTTGACATGGTCCATCCAGAATCTGGAGAAGACCGAATACGGAGAAGAAGAAGACATTTTTGTAAAAAAAAACAAATTTTGGTTTAGAAAGGACTTGTTCATCAAGCTTTTTTTTTTTGAAAAAAATTGTCAAATCTTCTAATTTTTCTTCTTTCTTCTTCTTCCTCCTCTATTTGCCTTCCTCCTAATCCGAAAAATTCTGCCAAAAAGACACAAAATTGCCTAATTTGTCTGGTCTCTTCACTCATTTGGTGGTCACCCGGGGATTTAGTACCTTTTCTCTATCCCTTATCCGTCAATTTTTCTCACTTCTTCTTCTTCTTTTATTCTTTTTCTTCTTCTTCTTCTTCTTTTCCCTATTTTTCTATTTTCTGACCCAAAACTGGTGGACGGACGACCAGCGAAAAAGAGTACCAAACTCAATTTTCACCCAGTTTTTACTTTTAGGGTCCCCCACCACAGAAAATGGTGGATGAACAAAAACATTTTCCTCTGGAAAAGAAGAAGAAGGAAAAGAAGAAAAAGAAGAGAATCAAGAATTTCTTGTTTTTCAGTTAAAAAATTGTTCTGGAAAGTTTTTTTTTCCTGCATTTATGAATTTCTGCTCTTTTCCTTTTTTTCTTCTTCTTCTCCATATTTAGCCTTCTCCGGATTTTGGATGGACCACGGATTTTGGATGGACCATCTCCAAAATTTCTGAAAGTAGTCCTCAAACCTTTCCCAAATCTTGGTAAGCCTTCTCCAAACTTTTTCTTCTAAAAATCTCTTCTTCTTCTCTAGACCTGGTCTTCTCCATATTTTCCTTTTCCAAATCTTGGATGGACCGTATCTGAAACATCTGAAAGTAGTCCTCAAACCTTTTCCTAACCTTGGAAAACCTTCTCCAAATTTTTTCTTCTAAAAATCTCTTCTTCTTCTCCATATTTAGTCTTCTCCAGATTTTGGATGGAACTAGTCCAATTTTTTTGAAAGTAAACCACAAATATCTTAAATTACCTCTAAATCCTTTTCCAAACTTTTTCTTCTAAAAATCTCTTCTTCTTCTCCATATCTAGTCTTCTCCAGATTTTGGATGGACCATGTCCAATTTTTTTTTTTTTTGAAAATTTTTCTTTTTTTTCTCATACTGTCTCTTTTCCGTTAAAATGGACGATGAATAGGTATAAAATGCGCAATTAGCGCCTTCTCCGACAGATAAGAATATCCCATTTCTCTTCTTCTTCTTCTTCTTCTCCCCAGGCGGTCTTCTCTGTCACTTTTCTCTTCTTCTCCGAAGATGAGGTAATTAACACAATTTTGGTGACAGCCGTGGACAGGTATTCTGAATATGTACATAATTTGAAAATTTTTGGAAACTTGGACTAGGGTCATCCAGAATCTGGAGAAGGACCAATCTGGAGAAGAGAAAATTCAGAGAAGAAGAAGAATTTTTACGAAAAAAAAGGTTGGATATAGTTCTCCATAGATTTTAATAGATTTTTGAACTAGATTCAGAAACTTTGGACATGGTCCATCCAAAAAGTTTCAAAATCTGGAGAAGAAAAAGAAGAAGAAGAAAAAGAAACCAAATTTCCTTCGAAATTTCATCATTCTTTCTGGATTTTTTTTCGTTTTCATCTTCTTTTTTATTGTTCTTTTCTTATTCTTCTTCTTCTTCTTCTTTTCCACATTTACATTTTACCGTTCCTTCTTCTTCTCCGAATCGCCCATTCACTAATGTTATTGTTATACTAGTTTTGTGTAAAACGGTAACCACCACCGTTCGGATAGGTAGAACGTTTTCTTTTTCTTCTTTTCCTTCTCCTGATCCTTCTCCGGATTCTGAATCACCAATTGAAATTTTAGATTCTTCTTCTTCTTCTTCTTTTTCTTTTTTTTACTTCTTTTTTTTTTCTGAAATTCTAATCCTCAAATTCTCAAATTTCCAGAATCAACACACACCCCCCCCCCCACAAGAATGTTTCCAAGATGAGAATTCAATTCAAAAAGAAAATGAAGATTTTCCTCTTCTTCTTCTCCATAATTCAAGCTACAGTATGCCTGACAAGGTTTACTGTACCTGAATCCGCCCAGATTGGTTTTCGAATAGGATGGATATCTGGGAAACAAGAAGAATCGGTGGCTCCCAAATATTTCGTAGTCTTTCCAGATGAGCAAACTTCAAAGGTGAGTATTTTTGATTTTTGGAAAAATCGGAGAAGGACATGTTGTGGTCCAAAAATCTAAAAAATAGAAAAAGGAGACTTGAAAAAGATGTTCCAGAATAATTATAATATTTTTGGTCTACTTTCCTAAAAATAAGACATGGTCCATCCAGAATCTGGAGAAGACCAAATTTGAAGAACAAGAAGAAATTCGAACTTTTTAAAATTTGGAAAAGGATTTCGGAAATATTTAGGACATTTTTGGTCTAGATTCTAAAATTTTGAGCATGGTCCATCAGAATCTGGAGAAGACTAGATATGGAGAAGAAGAAAAATTTAGATTTTTAGTTTTTCAATTCATCTTTTTCTTTTCTTCTTTTCCAATCCAATTTTCCTATTCCATTCATTGGCGTCTTAACCTTGAGAGGATAACGAACGGTATACTAGTAGTCAAGGAGAAAAGAAAAAGAAAAAGAAGAAAAAGGAAAATAGGAGGAACATGCCCAATTATCTTCTGCCCTATTCACTTTTGGGGGGACCGTTCGAGGTAGGGAAAAGAAGAAAAAGAAGGGAAAATCTGGGGAAAATAAAAATTAGAGAAAAAAAATTAATTTCTTCTTCTTTTCCGAATTCGGCCTTCTCCAGATTCTGGATGGACCACATGTGAAATTGTCGAATCTAGTTCAAAAACGTCCTACATATTTTGGGAATCCTCTTCCAATATTCAAATAAGGGTTTTTGATAAGTTTTGCTCTAGATTTGGTCTTCTCCAAATTCAGTCTTCTCCAGATTCTGGATGGACCAATTCCAAACTTAAAAACTCTAGACCAAAAATTTTTGCCAGACTTTGAAATGTCTATTTCACTAATTTATTAGAAATAATCTCTTCTTCTTCTCCATATTCAGCCTTCTCCAAATTCTGGATGGACCACTCCCAAAATTTTCAAATATAGTTTAAAAATGTTCTAAATATCTTGGAAATTCTTTTCCAAACTTTGAAAAATCTAATTTTTTTCTTCTTTTTCGAATCTGTTCTTTTCCAAATTTTGGATGGACCTGTTCTAAATTTTTTGAAACTAGACCAAAAAACTGATGAAAGTCTAGAAAAAGCCTATTCAATATTTCCAAACAGTTTCTAGATGAATTTTGGACTAGATTTGGCTATCATCCTTCTCCAGAACCCCTTATTCATGAAAAAAGTGTTTTTCAGTTGCTAATTTCTAATTATCCCTCTTCTTATCCCTACAAATGATTGATATCTGGCCTCCTGTTGCATTTCCTCCTAACCCCAAAACATTGGGAAAAAGGGACCAACAAGTCATTTGCATAGTTAAGGAGTCTACATCTGTTTCTTCTCCAAACCCATTTCACCGTGAAATATTGGTTTGAATAGATGAATTTGATGTATTTTGTTCTTTCTCCAATACAGAATATTTTATACTATATATGGAGAAGGGGAAAGGAGCATAAGGAGAAGTAACAGGGATTAGTAATTATATGGATAAGAAGAAGAAGAAGGGTCAAGTTATTATGAAAAGAAGAAGAAGAAGACTTAATTATAGGGCAAAAAAACTGTATACAAGTAGGGGGAAGAAGGGCGGAATATGCCCAAAAAATGCAGAAAAGAGGGATTAGGAAACTAGATCTGAGCTTCCCTACATTTTCCTAAAATTCCTGAACTAGTTCGATCAATTCTGGAGAATGTCCATCCAGAATCTGGAGAAGACTAGATTTGGAGAAGAAGAAGGAATTTAGCTTTTTGAAAGTTTGGAAAAGACTATCCACAGGTTTTAGTAGATTTGAGAACTAGACTTATCAACTTTGGAGAAGGTCCATCGAGGTCTCCTCCTTCTCCAGACTTGGCCTTCTCCAGATTTTAGATGGACCATGTCTAAAATTTGGGAAACTAGACCAAAACTTTTATATTTTTATTGGAAAAGTATATCCAAACCTTTTTTTAAAAGATTTCTCTTTTTCTTCCCCAAATTTGGTCTTCTCCAGATTCGGCCTTTTCCAGATTTTGGATGGATCTTGTCTAATTCCTATGAAAGTAGACCAAAAATCTTAGGTTCACCTTGGAAAAGTATATCCAAAACTTTTTTTAAAAGATTTCTCTTCTTCTTCCCCAAATTTGGTCTTCTCCAAATTTGGCCTTCCCCAGATTTTGGATGGACCATATCTAAAAATCTGCAATCTAGTTCAAAAACGTCCTAAACATCTTGGAAATCCTTCTCCAATATTTTTTTTTTTGAAAATGTTTCTTTTTCTTCTCCAGATTTAGTCTTCTCCAGTGCTTCCCTTCCCCAGATTTTGGATGGATCATTTCAAAATTTTTGGAAAATAGACTAAACTTTTTTGTCATATTTTGGAATGTCCTTTTCAAGTATTTTTTTTTTCAAAAAATGTCTTCTTCTTATATGAATTCGGCTTCTCCAAATTTGTTCTTCTCCAGATTTTGGTTGAATCTTTTCCGATTTTTACTTTTTCTTCTAAATCTCTTCTTAAAGGAACATAGGACCTAAACCCAATTTGTTCCGCAACTATTCTTCTTCTTCTCCGAAATGGACCACATTAGTCATCTGTCCCCATTCAGAGAGTGCAAAAGAAGAAGAAAGTGTCAAAATTGATAGAATTAGGAAGAATCTCGAACATCCTAAAAGTACAAGGGACCAGATTTTATAGCTTTTAGGGCTTAGAAAAAACTGGAAATTCAAAAAAAATTCGAATTCTAAATTTCAGTTCCTCAAAGTCGACGAACGCTCTGGAGAGATTTCCACCATTGCTCATCTGGATTATGAAAAAAGGTCGAAATTCGAAATAGTGGCTGTTCGAGTGGAGGAATCCGGTGAAACCATTGATATTTTGGTCGAGGTGGATGATGAGAATGATAATGTGCCAAGTTTTGCGGATTCCAATGTTAAGGTGGGCAGTTTCAACTGAAAAATTTGAGGAAATTTGAGAACAAACGACCCTCAAACTTGGAAAAATCGGGAATCAAGGTTTTTTGGAGCTCCAAAGAGGTTTTTCATGCTCTAAATGGAACCAAAAAAAGTTTGACTCCGGGTGGAATCGAACCCTGGTGTTGAGATTCCCAGATTTTGGGTTCAAAATCCCACTGAGCCATCTGACCACATTTTTGAAAAACCTCGATTTTCATGCGTTTTGATTGGTTTTAGGGAATTCTGAGGGGTTTCAAAAGTTTTGAACTTAACTACAGTAGTTTCTACATTCAAAAACCTCAATTTTGAATAATTTTGGAAAACTCAAATTTTTTGGATTTTTTAACTTTTTTCGAAAATCTGAAATTTTGCGAAAAAAGGCTTCCAGAACTTTCCAGAACCTCTAATTCTTGCTCTAAACAAAAGCAAAAAGAGTTTGGCACCGAGAGGAATTGAACCCTGGTGTTGAGATTCCCAGATTTTGGGTTCAAAATCCCACTAGGCCATCTGACCACATTTTTGAAAAACCTCGATTTTCATGAGTTTTGATTGGTTTCAGGGAATTCTGAGGGTTTTCAAAGGTTTTGAACTCAATTTTAGTAGTTTCTACATTTAAAAACCTTAATTTTAAGCAATTTTTGATTTTCAATTTTTTGGATTTTTTCACTTTTTTTCGAAAACCTGAAAGTTAGCGAAAAAAGACTTTTAGAAGCTTCAAGAACCTTCAAATCTTGCTATAAACAAAAGCAAAAAGAGTTTGGAACCAAGAGGAATCGAACCCCCGATCTTGAGATTCAAGGCAAAAATCCCACTAGGCCATCCGAACAATTTTTCGAAAAAACGCTTAAATCAAGGTTTTTAGTGATTTTTTGTCAGGTTTTCAGGTTTTTAAAGGTCCAGAGTACTATTTTCACTAGTTTCCATAACAAAAAAAAAATGCATTTTTGCAGTTCGAAATTTCGGAATTCGCTCAACTCGGCACCTCATTCGCCTTACCCACGGTTTCTGATGGAGATGGACCCAAATTTGATGTTCATCGATTTGTGATTCTTCAAGGAAATGTGAATAATGTGTTTAAGGTGAGCAATTTGATTTCTTAGGTACAGTAATCCATGTTTTACATGCAGATAACTGCTCGAAAAGTCAACGAACAGCTTCAAGCGGATTTGTTTGTGAATGGACAATTGGATAGGGAATTTCGGGATAAATATGAGCTGTTGATTGAAGCCCAGGATGGTGGAAAACCGGCAAAGTGAGTTTTTATGAACATTTGAAAAATAAATCTTCAAAAACCGACTAAAGTTGAGCAAGAACTCAGTCAAAATGACTTATAAATGTTTGAGAGCCACAAAATGTATCTAGAACTCAATGAACGCTTCAATTTAGGGTTAATTTAACCCGAAAATCACATTCTCTGACCTTGAAAACCCTTAAAAACATTTAAAAATAGCTGAAAATCGCTGAGAATCGCGTTTTTTTAAAGTTTTGCACAAATGGCTCAGTGGGATTTTTGACCTAAAATCTGGGAATCTCAAGGCCGCGGGTTCAATTCCTCCTGGTGGCAAACTCTTTTCGCTTTTGTGTAGAGCATTATTTGAGCATTGGAAGTATTTTGAAGTGTTGGATTTCTGGATTTTCGGAGTTTTTTGGCAAATTTCTGAGTGAGAATGGCAATTTTCACTTTTTTTTTCCATTTTTTAAGCTAAAAACTACTTTTTCTGGCGAATTTAACATGAAAAACGTCATTATTCTACACTGAAACCCCTAAAAATTACTAAAAATCCCTATTTTTGCCCTTTTGAAGCCTTTTTGAAAAATTTGCCCCAGATGGCTCAGTGGGATTTTCATGTCAATCTCAAGGCCAAGGGTTCGATTCCTCTTAGTGGCAAACTTTTTTTGCTTTTGTGTAGAGTATTATTCAAGTGTTAGAAGTGTCTGAAAATGTCTAGAAATGTAAAATTCAGATTTTTGAATTTCAATGATCCTCAAAAAACTAAAAACTGCCAAAAATTGAATTTTCCTTCAGAACTGGTCAACTCCGATGCTCTATAGAAATCGTGGATGCTAATGATAATGCTCCAGTGTTCACAAGAAGTCGTTACACGGCTTCAGTCTCCGCCAACGTCTCCATCGGCTCCAATATCATTACCGTACAAGCCACCGACGCTGACATTGGAGAAAATTCCAGAATCTCCTATGAAATCAAGAAGACGTCGTCTCCATCGAACTCGAATTTCGCAATATCACCATCTGGAGTCATCACAACGACTTCTAGTCTTCTTCCAGCTTCCACCCATGACGTCATCGTCGTCGCTTCGGACCATGGAAATCCGCCGTTGAGTTCATCGGCAGTGGTGACGATAAGTGTAATGGGAAGTACGCTAGCGTCACCCCCATTGGATATTATCTGGTTGGTCGAGTCGAATTCCGGTGAGTCTTACTTCATTTGCTATCAAGAGCTGCAAAAAATTGAGCCAATTTGACCAAACATGAGTGAAACTAGGCGAGAAACATGCTAAACCTGAAACCCCAGGACTGAACGTCAAGCATCCTTCTAAACTGTGCTAAAACTCACTGGAGATAGCTTCCAGAGTAAATTGACCCTAAAAATCACAATTTTCGCACTTAGAAACCCCTAAAACCCATTTTGAACCCAGAAATTCGCCCTTTTCCAAAAATTTACACATATGGCCTAGTGGGATTTTCGCCCCAAAATCTAGTAATCTCAAGGCCAGGGTTCAATTCCACCTGATGTAAATCTTTTTTGGTTTTTGTGAGAAGCACTAAAAAGTCTCTCAAAGTGAGAAAATCTGAAAAATTGATTTTCAGATTTTCCGGAAAGTTCTGAAAAAAAATTGTCAACATTTTTTTTCAGATTTTTTGTCAAAAAAAAACACGATCTAGCTGAAAATACACTCCAAAATCACTATTTTCACCTTTTAAACCCACGAAACCACATTGAAAATCATGGAAATTGCACTTTTTAAAAAAATTGCCCAAATGGCTCAATGGGATTTTCGATCAAAAATCTGCTAAACTCAAGGCTAGGGTTCGAGTCCACCCGGTGCCAATTGCGTTTGACTTTTGTGAGGAGCATGGTTAGACTGTTAGAAGTGTCTGGAAATGTTGGATTTTGGGATTTTTGCGAAAATCCAAAGTTTTTTGGCACATTGTTGAGTTTTTCAAGCTTAAATATCTAGATTTTTTCAGCACATCTCCCAGAGAACACCACATTAGGCTCAATTGTCGCTCGTGTGAGCATTGCTCAGATGTACCGTGACACGAAGCTCCGCCTGCTGGGAACCAGCAGTCTGTGTCCCCAACAAACCGATCAATCTCACGTCTACCTACTTCTGCTATGTGGAATTCTGGATCGAGAGACGACTTCAGAATACCATCTGAAGTTTTTACTTGAAAAAGATGGGCAAATGATAATTGAGCATCCACAGCTGCTAACGATTGGAGATATCAATGATAACGCTCCTCAATGGCATAGTTCCCAAATTCATATCTCTTTGAATCGAACGCAGGGAGGGTCCCGGACTCTGACAGCAAAGGATCCGGATTTGGGGCAGAATGGATGGATTCGATATTCGGTGCTGGATACGGACTTGGTTTCTATTGATAAGGAGACGGGCAGAATTTTTGTGCCGAATACGGTAGGCCAAATAAACCGATTAGGGGAATTACACTTGCGGCGAGTAAGAGGGGCTTTAAAGGCGCATAAAACACAGTAGCTATCAAAAAGCTGTCAACTAACAATATTTTTTCTAATTTATGATAATTAGTGGTGTTGTAATTGACAATTTTTTGGTAACTGTTCTGGTTTTTTAGTTATGCGCCTTTAAAATTGGTGCGTCTCTTTTCCGGACGCCCGAGAGAAGGATGAGACGCGCCAACTTTAAAGGCGCATATCTCTCAAACTACAGTAATTCGAAATAAAGTGTCAATTAACAAAATTTGAATAATATTAAGCTGATTAATTTGGTAGTTGACAACTTATGGCGATCTTTTTTGGTTTTCGAGATACGCGCCTTTGAAGTTGGCGCGCGCAGTCGTCCCCTTCCTTGGGCGTCCACTTTAAAGTCGCATAGCTCTAAAACTACGGTAGCTAGACAACTTTTGTCAACTATAAAAATGTGTAAAATACAATTTCCTACATTTTATAATTTTCAAATCTTTCTAGCTACTATAGTTTTTGAGATATGGGCCTTTAAAGTTGGCGCGCGGCGCACTCAATCCCTTCCTGCCCTCCAAAAAAGGTAAAGGTCGGGCCAACTTTAAAGGCGCATATCTCTAAAACTATGGTAGCTAGAAAATTTTAACTAATTACAAAATGATGTAAAATTTAATTTCCTACATTTTTATAATTTTCAGATCTTTCTAGCTACTGTAGTTTTTGAGATATGGGCCGTTAAACTTGCTTTCAACGCTTTCAAGGCCGCTTGGTGGATGCGCTAACTTTAAAGGCGCATATATCTAAAACTACAGTAGCTAGACAAATTTTTTCAAATATTGAAATGTGTAAAATTCAATTTCCTACACTTTTGTAGTTGACAAATTTTTTCTAACTACTGTATTTTTCAAGATATGCCTCTTTAATTGACCATAACCTTCTTTTCCAGATCGATTGCAACATTGGATCCGAAATCAAGTTCCGAGTTCGCGCCGAGGATGGTGGCAATCCTGCACTATCTACTGATCTACAGGTTGGGGACCAATTCATCCCAATTAAGCCTAATTATCTATAAGTTAAGGTGATTGCCGACCTTCTAGACTCCGAATCCCGACCTCCACAATTTGAAAGAGCACTTTGGCAGGTGGAGATTTCCGAGGACACTCCAGTTGGCACTTGTTTGGTTAAGGTGGGTACTTTTTTATTTTTTAAAAAGGGGAGGGTCTTCTGGAGTAGGAAATTGAATAATTTTTGAAACAAGTTGAAAAGGGTCCGACAAAGTTTATTCCCTTGGGTGCAATAAGTCATTTTAGGTTTTGGGGAGGGGAAAAGTTGCCGAGGGGTGTATGACGTATGACAGGAGACGGACCAAAGGGCAGAAGATTAATAAATGTTTTTCGGGGGGTAAAAGAAACAAGGAAAACATATTTTTAGAAAGAGGGGGGAGGGGGACGAAATTATATAGGACAGTTAAAGGGTAACAACTAACGAAACATGGTTTTTTTTTTGCTTTTTTTCAGCTAACAGTACTATTTTTTAGTCAAAAAGTGGGATATTAGGTAAAATAGATACGAAATTTGAAATTTTTGACCTCAAAAACCCATAAAAACCACTAAAACCATGGAAATCGCATTTTTCAAAAAAGTTGCAAAAATGGCTCAGTGGGATTTTCCACTGAAAATCTGGGAATCTCAAGACCAGGGTTCGATTCCACTTGGCGCCAAAATTTTTTTGAAATTTTGAATAGCATGGTTAGAGTGTTAGAAGTATCTAGAAATGTTGGATTTCAAGATTTTTGGAGTTTTTGGGCGCATTTTTGAGTGGAAATGAAAAATTTGATTTTTTTTTTCGGTTTTCAAGCTAAAATCTAATTTTTAAAGCGAAATAAATACAAAAAACGTAATTTTCAGGTACTAGAACCCCTTAAACCACGATTTTTGAACTTTTTCAGACGTTTTTCAAAAATTTACAAAAATGGCTCAGTGGGATTTTGGACCAAAAATCTGCTAAACTCAAGGCCAGAGTTCAATTCCACCTAGTGGCAAAATTTTTTGATTTTTGTGAGGAGCATGGTTAGAGTGCTAGAAGTGTCTAGAAATGTTGGATTTTGGGATTTTTGGAATTTTTTGGAACTTTTTAGGATTAGGATTATTTAAGGATTAGCAATTTTCGGCTAATTTCAAGAGATGCTGATAAAAATTAAAGGCTTCAAAGATAAGGATAAGTATAGTAGCAAAAAATAGTATAAATGAGAGTTGTTTTAAAATATCTGGAAACTTCTGAAAAAGGGGGCGGAGCTTAGGATGCCTGCTCCGGGACCACTGATTTCTTCTTAGCAGATCCGGCTCTTTTTGGAGCGGCACTTCCAGCACGTTCTGTTGATTTCGAAGCTGGTCGTGAAGCAGTGGTTGGGCGTGTAGCCGACTTTGTAGCCGGACGAGAGGCCCCTCCATTTTTGGTTCCTGGCCTAGAATCCGATTTGGTTGGTGGCCTAGCTTCTGCACGGCCCTCGGACTTGGTGGCCGGGCGGTTGGTAGTAGTTGGGCGGGATCCACTACGAGTGCGTGGCTTTGCAGGGTCATCTGACTTCGGGGCAGTGGTCGTTTTGGCGCCAATTGATTCGCTTCGCTTGGCTGGAATGATTTTTCAGGAATAAGGGGGTTTAGGGATGATATATTAAGAGTTAGGAGTAGGAAAATTAAAATTTTGACAATCGATAACCTATAAACGCTAGGAAAAATTAAGAAAATCCGTTAAAAATCACGATTTTAACACTTTTGGTGAGGTGGCTCAGTGGGTTTTCGACCGGAATCTCAAGACCAGGGTTCGATTCCACCTGGTGGCAATCTTTTTTGATTTTTGTGAGGGCCACTAATAAGTTGGTCCAAGTGTCTAAAACACTAATTTCCTGGGGTTTTTAATAATTTTTATGAAAAAAATTGGCTAGTGAAGAGCTTTTGGAATTTTTTAAGTTGGAGAAAATGAACTTTAGCATTTGAAAATGGCTTAAAAACAGGAAAAATCGTTTTTGGGAGCTTTTAAAACCCCTAAAACCCATTTTGAACGCAGGAAGTCGTAATTTTTCAAAAATGTGGTCAGATGGCTCAGTGGGTTTTTGACAGGAATCTCAAGTCTAGAGTTCGATTCCCACTGGGGGCAATTTCTTTTTATTTTTGTGAGAGGTACGATTTAGGGGTCTAGATAGCTACTAGAAGATCGGAACTCTCAGATTTTCAGTATAGGGGCTCCAGAATATACTGGAAACTAGAAAAATTTTCGAAAAATCAAAAAAACTGCATGCAAACATGGACATTTTTATGTTTTTGGGTAAAATTAGCCTGAAAATCATTATTTCCGCACTTAAAAATCCCTAAAAGCTGTTTGAAACCGTGAAAATCGCACTTTTTTGAAAATGAGGCCAGATGGCTTAGTGGGTTTTCGGCCGGAGTCTCAAGGCCAGGGTTCAATTCCTCTCGGTGGCAATTTCTTTTGATTGTTGTGAGAAACAAGGAAAAGTACTCGGAATTGCCCTCCTGAACCGAAAATTCCCAGATTGCTCACCCTTAGTTCCTTTCTTGGCAGTTGCTGGCCTAGCAACGGCCTCATCCAGCAGGTCCAACATATTCGCGCCCTTGTTCTTCTTTTTCTTCTCTCCAGCACTTGTTGGTGGACGTTTAGCATCGATTTGCTGAAACAAAGACCCATTGCTCAGCTTAAATTTTGATTTTAATGCACATACCATATCCTCCATTGCCGCTTTCAACGACTTCTTCTTCTCCCGTGCGTCAATTACAGTAACCTGTTGACTCGCCTCCACTTCTTTCGCATATCGTTTTTCGTCTTCGATATTATCGAATAGACTCATTCCCCAGATTTCTTCGTCTCCTGGAAGTTTTAGGTGGAAAACTTCAACAAAAAAAATTTTTTGTTTTTGAAAATTTTTTTTCTAAAAAGTTTGAAAAAACATAGTTTGGGATAATTTTAACAACCCCAGCCACCTCTTACAGCTTTCGGACTTCTTAAAACTCCTATAAAACCCCAAAAAATCCCCCAATATCGCACTTTTCCAATAGTTTCGCACTTTCGGCTCAGTGGATTTTTCTACTACCAATCTGAGGATCCGGGTTCGGGTCCACCCGGTGGCAAACATTTTTTTATTTTTGTGTAGCACTTCTGGAAGCCATTTGGAATGTTCTAGAAACTCTTCTTTCTAGCTTTACCATGCCCAAAATAGCAATTTTTGGAAGAAAAAGGAAATAATCCCTCTGACGTAGTTCTAGCTCCCCTATTTTTGTACCAAGATAATCTCGGCAAGATCAAAAATCACTGATTGCTCATCTTTAAAAAATGTGCATCTCATAGTTTTGTACTCAGAGTGCGCTTAGACTCTTGAAATGCAAATTTTGGCTCTAAAATATATTTTCCGGTCCACTGACCTTCAGCTGATGGTGCTGGCGCTGCTGACATCATTGACTCAAAAAACGCCATCTCATCGCCTTCTCGACGTGGATCCGGTTTGCCGAGTCCTCCACCGGAAAGCTGGAAAAAAATTTTTTGGCTGAAATTTTTTTTATCTGAAAATATTTTTTTTTGGCTTTAAAAACCTTGAAAAGCATGTTTTTAGGTCAAAAAACGCAGAGAATCTGAAAAATTACATTTCAGAACCCCTAGAATTAACTAGAAACTCGAAAAATTGAATCTGAAAATTCCTTATTTTCAGTCCCAAAAATGTGAAAGAAAACTTTTTTTTTGGATTTTTTGGCATTTTTTTCCACTGAAAATTTTCTGAAATCCAAAATTTCTTGGCCAGAAAAAACGCGGAAAATTTGCAAAATTCAATTTCAGCTAGCTAAAAGTTCATCAAAGTGTTAAAAATGGGAATTTTCAAAAAATCCCAGAAAAAAATTTTTTGGATTTTTTCTAATATTTTCAGATTTTTTCGCTGCCGAAAACTTTAAAACCCAACTTTACTAGACCAGAAAAACGCGGGAAGTTCAAAAATCTTAATTTCAACTAGTCGAAATTTCATTGAACCTTCCAAAAAGTTGAATTTTCAAAAATTCGAAAAAATTTTTTTTTGGAATTTTCAGAAATTCTTTTTTTTTTTTTGGAATTTTCACAATTCAAAATTATTTGAAATTTCATTTTTCTGAATTTTGAAAACGCGGAAAATTCAAAAATCCAGATTTCAGCTGGCTAAAAATTTCAATTTTTCAAAAAAATCCCAAGAAATGTTTTTGGATTTTTTGGCATTTTTTTTCCACTGAAAAATCCTCGAAATCCAATTTTTCTATGTTAAAAAACGCGGGAAATTCAAAAATCCGGGTCTCCATAACTCACCGCCACTTTCATATCAACTATCGTATCCAACTCATGCTCAGACATGGCTGAAAAGAGCCAGACTCTCTCTCTCTCTCTCTCTCTTTCAGCCAAAAAAATATAATAAATCAATTTTTTTCAGAATAAAAAAAAAGAGATAAATGTGATAATAAATTTCCGGTGTATGAATAGAATAGAAAAAGACACACAAAAAATGAGAAAAAAGATGTGGGAGTACTTTTTTTCCTACGCTTTCTTTTTCTGACTAACAAGATCTCATGATAGCTGAGAGAGAGTGGAACATATAGAAGAGACGCAGAGAAATCAGAGAGATTAGAGTTCTAGAAAGTTATTCAAGTGAATGAATAGCTGGGGGGATCAGGAAGTCTTTGAACCATCTAAAATGGGTCTAGAAAGGCCTAAAAACCTATCCCAGCCTAAAAGTCTTTAAAGAGCTTTAAAAGCCTAACCTAGCCTAGCTGGGCCTAAGGCCCTACAAGCCTGAAAATCCTAAAACAGGCCTAAAACTGCCTGAATGGCCCTAGCCAAGCGTAAAAGGCTTAGCCGAGCCTTAAAATTCTTCTCTAGCCTAGATGAGATTGAAAACCCTCAAATTGCCTAACTAGGCTCACATCTTTTTGACCCCATTCCAAGTTATAGGCCTAGCCAAGCCTTAAAAGACTAACTAGGCCTATTACAGACCTGATTTCTTACTTTTAACAACCCATTCCCATCTCGATAGTTATTGCCACCCAAGTCGGTCGATCGTTTCGGGGCATCCAGTGCGTCAGGCTGAAATTTTGGATTTTTAGGCCGGTAAAATAGGCCTGAAACTCACATAAACTTCAAATTCCTCGTATTTATAGACGGTGGGAAACTCGCTGGTGTGTGTGACCTCGCCAGTTGGAGAGAAATACTGCAAATGGGAGAAAAATTGGATTTCAGAGTAATTTGGTTTCAGAAATTGCAGAAAAATAGTTAATTGGATTCAGTTTAGCCTGAAAAAAAAACACATAAATTTTGAGCCATTTTGAGGGGTTTTAAGGCTATTTTTAGGTTTAAACCATCTCTTGGCCATCGCTTGCCCATGACTTGACTTCTGAAATTCTGAGCAGTTTTAGAGCATTTCGAGCCCAAGCAAGGTAATTTTCGACACTTTCAAGCACATTTTTCTGGGGGCTTGGCCATCCCTTGCCCATCCCTTGCCCATCACTTGCCCATATCTTGCCCATTTTATTCATTTTTCATCAGTTTTCAACCATTCGGGTGTATTCTGATCAGTTTTAAGGCATTTTGAAATATGGCAAGCCTATTTTAGACAGATTGTTGCCTATTTCAAAGTGTTTGCCCATCACTTGCCCATCACTTGCCTATGACTTATTTTCACTAGTTTTGAATCGTTTACAGATAAATTCAGGCAGTTTTAGAGTGTTTGGAAATTCATTTCTTGGGTTTTGCCCATCATTTGCCTATTGCTTGCCCATCGCTTGCCCACCATTTGCCCATAACCTTCGGGTAGTGTTTTTCAAGAGTTTTAAAGGTTTCGTTGTTTCTAAAGCGTTCTCAGGCAAGTTTGAACCTTGTCCATGACTTGCCTATCCCTTGCCCAACTCTTGCTCGTCCCTTGCCCATCACTTGCCTTTGTCAATCCCACTGGCTGCCCGCCAATCATCAATTGAATCGGCACATTTTTGTCATAAACCACAAATCGGCCATTTTGCAGTTGTTTGGAGTCTTTGAGAAATGTCGAAACCTTGACACGAGAATCTTGGAAAAACGATAGCAACGAATTGCGAAGCATAAAGAATCCCATGGGTCCGAGTGGACGATAGAATGTGAATGTCTGGAAATATTTGGAAATTTCTGAAAATTACCGACCCCCCCCCCCTTCTCAAAATTGGCCTACCATGGTATAAGCATGTTCTACAGCATTCCCAATCTCTTTATCCAATGGGACCAGGTCCAAAAGGGCTCTTAGATGGTTTACAGTAATCGTCATGATCTTCAAAAATCGATAAATCAATAAATCGCCTCCTCTGTGCTTGGTTACCTGCTCGGGCATGGTCATTTTCATCAAACAAAACTTGTAGGACATCATCATTAGGTCGAAAAGCTTATCCATCGAATTCTCATTTAGGCGCATGATTGAACAATGAGCAATCTTCTCGAAAAAGACTTTCAGCCCACTTCTAGTTGGTATTCCGTGTCCTTTGAATACCTCATCCAAGGTCTTTTTGGCTAGAAACCCCATCATGATCTCCTTCACCACTTTGTCACTCTTCTCACGGTCCTCGATTCGCTGAAATTTTAGCTTGGAATAGGTTTTTCTACCGTATCTTGCCTACTTTTGGTTCAACCTAGATAAAAACTTAAGTTTCAAATTATTCAGAGCTTCAAAATGAGCCCAAACACGACTAAGCTCCGCCCACTTTGGTATCGAAAATTTTGAAATTTTGGAAAGTAGGCCATGTTTATACTCAAATTAAAGCTCTCAAAACGCTTATCATAAAGATACTAAAACTTTTTTGTTTGGTCAAAAACTGACCGAGTTAGGACATTTTTGACCCAAAAATGTATATGTCAGATTTTCAAACTACCATATCTCGATCAAATTTATTTCAAATCGACTAAAATTTATAATTTCATATTTACCACGTTTAGAGCTTTAAAAAGAGTATAAACATGTCCAGGTTTGCTCAAGTTCGATTTTTCAGGTTAAAGGCGCATGGGGGTCAAAAATCCAAAAAAAAAATGAAAAGTTTCGAAATCCTAGCCGTGTTTCTATTTATTTTGAAGCGCTAACCACGGTGAACTCGAAAAACGTTGTTTTTATCCAATTCGAGTCAATAATAAGATAGATATGACAGTTTGAATATTTAATGAGAAAATTTCACCGATGTTTCAAAGCGATGTAATTTCGTCAGTTTTTGAGCAAACTTGTAAACTTTGATATTTTTATACTCAACCTAAAAAGGGCTTCAAAATGAGTATAAACATGACCTACTTTCCGAAATTTTGATTTCCGTCACCACCTATGCGCCTTTAAAGTCAAACAACAAATTTGAGCAATCCTAACCTTGTTTATACTCATTTTGAAGCCCGAAACGCGACAAGCTCAAAAATGTAGTTTTCATCGAGTTTGAGTCGAAAATTGGGAGAGATACGGTAGTTTGAACATTTTGTGGGAAAATGTTACAGATGTTTCAAAGCAGGGTAACTCAGCCAGTTTTCGACCAAACTAGAAAATCTTTACATTACTGTATTAAATTTAAAAAGAGCTTCGAAATTAGTATAAACACGACTAGGGTTGCTTGATTTTGGTTTTTGAGGTTAAAGGCGCATGGGATGTCAAAATCTTAAAAATGAAAAGTTCTGAAAACCTAGCCTTGTTTATACTTATTTTGAAGCTCTGAACGCGACAAGTTTGAATATTTAGATTTTATCAAAATTGGACCAAAAGTAGACAAGATACGGTAGTTTGAACTACGGTAACTAGCCGAAAACCCCACCTCTTTCTGCACCCGCAACCGCTGATCCAGCACATACATCATCTCGGCACCCAAATTGATATAAAGTGCCGGAAAGACATGACTGGTCATGTCAATTTGCTCTTCATTCAGATGTTGGAGATCTTCTGCCAAATGTTTGGGGATTTTCAGAATTTTTCGAAACGACTCCGTCATTGGAGGCGACGGAGGGTCCATTTCAGACGGGAAATAGGTTGAGGACCGAATCGTAAAGTTGGGGGAAGGAATAGGCGAATTTGAGACAAAGAATGATATAGAATTCAATATTTTTGAGAACTAGAAGAGGAGAGAAATCCATAGGGAAATCAAGGAAAACAATAATTTTGAGTGGGCTAAATTAATTGCATGTTATACATGTATGTTATTAAAGGGTACATGATGATGTCTTGTGCTATGAGAATTTTTGGGAAATTTTGGGGTTTGGAAGAGTTTCAAGAGAGTTTAAACTAGAGATTTTGGAGGAAAATGAAGGTTTATAGAGTTTCAGGATATTTTGAAAAACTTGAAAAATCAAATTGTTAGGAAATTGAGATTTTTGGTTTTTTGGGTATATACGAAAATCGGACATTTCAGATTTTTTTGGATTTTTGGAATTTCAGGAATTTTAGATTTTCCAGAAAAGAAAATTGGGCAAGTTCAAATTTTAATGAAATTTGAGAATTCGAAAGTTTCCGGATTTCAGGATTTTTGGAATTTTTCCCGAAAATTGGAATTTCTCAGAACTTCAGGGATTTTAGATTTCTCAAACTTTGAAATGTCAAATTTTAAAGAAGTTTCGGATTTTTGGAATTTGAGATTTTTCAGATTTTTTAGAATTTTAAGAGTTAAAAATGTTTCGAAAGTTGTAAAATTTTACGATTTTTGAAATTTTCAGAGTTTTTGGATTTTTGGATTTTTTGAATTTCTAAGAATTTTCAGAATTTTCAGATTTTTGAGAAAAGCTCTAAATATACGGAAAACTTGAAAATAGAGACTGATAGAATCTTGGAATTCTAAAAGTTTAAGAGTTTTAAATTTTTCAAAAAGAGCCAAATAATTCGAAAATTTGGAAAATTTCAAAATTTTCAGAAGTTTGAGATTTCGAGACCTTTGAGATTTTCCAGGAATTTGCCAAAATTTTTTTTAAAAAATTTCAGACTTTCAGATTTTTGGATTTCCTAGATTTCAAAGATTTTCTCAATTTTGTATATTTAGGATTTTTTGAAATTTCCGATTTTTGGAAAATCGGAAATTTCAAATCTAAAAATTCGAAAAATTAAAATTCAAAATTTGCTAAACTTTTGAAATGACCTATTTTTAATTTTCCTAGAATTCCCAAAAATTGGATTTTCATGAGAAAACAAAAATCGGAAAATAAATCCTGAAATTTTAAAATTTTAAACAAAAAATGATACAAATCTCTTTATGCTTGAAAAATTTCCAAAATTCAAAATTACGCTTTTCCCATCTTCCGCTTGATTTAAAGCATTTTTCAATCATTTAATCATATAAAACCAGTCCTCCTGGCTTCTGGTCGCCCTCCACCATCCACCCTTTACTGTGTTAAAACCAAGGAACGTCTCCAGAAGACTTCAAAATCAAAATTTCGAAAAACCAAAAGTTTGGGCATCAACTAAGACACAATTCTGATCTATCTGTCCAGGTTTCAGCTTGAACGGTTAACTTTGAATGGGTGATAAGGTGTGCTACATACATACAGAATCTGCTGAATGTTATTAGTAATGGTAATGATTCTGGAAAATCGGAAAAATCAAAAAAGTCGTTAAATCCAGGATTCAGAAAAATTGAAAACTAGGTATTTTCGAGAAATTGGAAATTCTGAAAATCGAAATTCCAGATCTTCAAAAAGTTTAGAAAATTGAGAAACTCAAAATTTCGAAAAACCAAAAGTTTGGGCATCAACTAAGACACAATTCTGATCTATCTGTCCAGGTTTCAGCTTGATCGGTTAACTTTGAATGGGTGATAAGGTGCGCTACATACATACAGAATCTGGTGAATGTTATTAGTAATGGTAATGATATGCTCTTTTTTGTTTTTTAAATCTTATTTTAAACAAACTAAGTATACTTTTTGTTTTATCAATTTCCTGCGGAAATCGATAGAACAAACACTACGAAAAATCTGAAAATAACAGGAAATTCCAGTTTTGTTTTTGAGAAAAAAAATCTGTCAAAATGAACAAAAAAAAGTGAACAACGAAATTTTGGAGTTAGTCAGAACAATACGAAATTTCGTACATTTTTCTTATATTTTTCGGTTGATATGGAAACCATAGAACACATTTTCAGCTTGTCTGAAATTTTGAAAAAAAAACTTTTTCTATAATAGTATATCTAGGCCAACCAATGGCGCGAAATGACCAGATATAAGAAATTGCACATGTCCAGAGAGAAAATCCAATTTAAAATAAAATAAAAATAAGAACAAATCCAGAAATTGGTTTGAAGGGGGGGAAGGGGGACAACCAAAATCTTATTACTAGAGAGGGAAAAATATAATTTCACCTGCTTGTCGTTCTAAATTGAAATTCTGAGATATGAGAGGAAAATTTTAATGCTGAGCAATTTGTTGAAAATATTTAAAATTCGGGCTTAAAATGACTGGAAATTTGAGAGGAAATTGGGAAAAAAAATATTTTAAAAAAAAAAAAAGTTTTAATTTTTAAAGCTGAGCAATTTACTGAAAATCTGGGATTCTCAGTTTTTTCAAATGCTGAGCAATTGGAAATTTCCAAAAAAAGCAATTTTGAATTTTTTCCAGGTGGTCGCCAACAATTCACAATGTGGGAATTCGAAAAGGATACGGTACTCAATGCAGGCTGGACAAGAACAGGTAGGAGACTACAAACTACAAACTACAAAATTTTGTGAAAAATGTTTTCTTGAAATTTTAGAAAAAAAGATCAGATAGGTGAAGGAGACTACAAACTACGTAAATTTTGAAAAAAACAATTTTTTGACTTTTTTCTGAATTTTCAGATTTTTTGGAATTTTTTTTTAAATTTTAAATAATGTATGAAATTTCAGATTTTTTAATTTTTTGGAATTTTTTTTTTCATTTTAAAATTCAAAAAAAATTTTTTTCATGTCTGAATTTTCAGATTTTCAGATTCTTTGGAATTTTTTTTTAATTGTAAAAAATGTCTGAAATTTCAGATTTCATTAATTCCAGAAAAGTCTACAAAATCACTGGGGAATCTTGATTTTTAGAGATTCTACTATTTCTAAATTTTAAAAAATTTCTAGAAAAATTTTTTTTTTTCAATATCAAAAAAACTATTTTCAGCACCTCTCCGTGGATTCCATGTCTGGAACAGTTTGTATTCAAAAAATGTTTGATTTCGAGAAGGAGCGAACTTTTCAAACTACAGTAGTCGCCACAAATGCTAGTAGGTCTTTTTTCTCAAAATTTCGAAAATTTTCAAGCTGAAAATCAGCTGAAAATGTCTGAAAAATCACCATAGAAACCCCGGGAAAACGAAATTAGATATTCAGAATTCAATTAAAAATTTGGGGAGAACTTTCTGAAAAAGTTTTCTAGAAATTTCTAGAAAAAATTCTCTGAAAATCAATTTTTCAGTACTCTCAGAAACTTCTAGAAGGTCATCAAAAAAAAGACCTTGAATTCCGGCTAAAAGTGCACTCTGACAAAAAAAGGTGTCATGAGAAAATATATAATTTCCGTCTAGCCTTTCGTCACTTACACTCCCCCGCACTTTGACTGAAAATGAAACATAGGATTTTTTAGGAAAGATTTTTTTTCTTCCGAAGTTTCTTAGTTATAGTTAAATTTGCCAGGATTGAGTACAAAATAAGTATAAGAGCTACAAAATAAGTATAAACATGACTAGGTTTGCTCAACTTTGGTTTTTTGATTTTAAAGGCGCACAAGGGGTCCAAAAATTGAAATTCTGTGGAAGGTGGGGTGAGTTGTCAAAAATCAAAATTTCGGAAAGTATGTCATGTTTATACTCATTTTGAAGCTAAAAACGAGAGTAATTCAATTTTACTATTTTCAATGCTGAAATTTCATTTTGAGACCTAAAAAATCCAGAAACGGCTTTTAAAAAACTAGTTTTCAGATTCCGAAACGTCCACAAGTCTTATTTCAATTCGACTCAAAGATGTCAACGATAATTGGCCAATTTTCTACCCCAACGAGTATCATTTAACAATTCGAGAGGGTCCAAAACCATCGGAACCCCTTCTAGTCGTTTCGGCGTCGGATTTGGATTCGGGAAAGTTTGGAGACGTGACCTATCAGATTTTGAGCGAATCCAACTCGTTCTCTATAAATTCAAAGACTGGAGAAATTTTCGCAAAGGTGAGTTGAAAGTTCAAAAACTGAATTTGACTCGTTTAGAGCTTCAAAATGAGCCCAGACACGACTAAGCTCCGCCCACTTTGGTTTTCTGACCTTAAAGGCGCATAAGGAGGTTGAAAAATCGAAATTCTGGAAAGTAGGTCATGTTTATACTCATTTTGAAGCCCAAAACGCGTTGAGTTCGAAAATGTCAAAATTTTAAAACTTAGATAGAAAATAAGTCAGTTATGATTAGGTCAAAAATTTCTGCTGATTTTTTAAATTTCCGAAGTTAAATTTAGATCATAACTTTTCACATGTCTCCTCAATTTTCAAAATTAACAGATTTTTAAAATTCCCATATTTTAAGCTTCAAAATGAGTATAAACATGACCTACTTTTCTGAATTTCGATTTTTGACAAATTCCCCCCCCCCCCTATGCGCCTTTAAAGTCAAAAAAACAAAGTGGGCGGAGCCTAGTCGTGTTTATATTTATTTTGAAGCTCAACACGCGCTGAGTTTGACAGTGTAAAAATTTTGAAGTTTAAATAAAAAATAAGCAAGTTATGATCAAATCCAAATTTTTGACTGAAACCAAAAAAAATGTTTTTTGGTCATAACTGTTTCTATTGTCCCCCGAATTTTGAATTTACGCATTTCTGAGTTTTCTACGTTTTAGGCTTCAAAATGAGTATAAACATGATATACTTTCCAGGATTTCGATTTTTCACAAATTTCACCCCGCCTATGCGCCTTTAAGGTCTGAAAATGAAAGTGAGCGGAGCCTAGTCGTGTTTATATTTATTTTGAAGCTCAAAACGCGGCAAGCTCAAAAAATCTAAAAATGTGAAGATTGGAAAAGAAATAAAAGAAAAAGAAGCAATTCAAAAAATACAGAAAACCCCAATTTCAGAAAATTAGGTTTTTTTTTTTAAATTTTTGAAAGTGCTCCCAATTCAACTAGATCCCAAAAATCAAAATTTCAGAACGCACTGACCCGCGGTCGCTTCCATTTGATGGTCAACGCCAAGGATGGTGGAGGTCAGAACTCGGAGAACCCCGCGAATATTCATATCACTGTTATCGATAAGAACACCAAGACCCCAGAATTTTCAAGGTCCAAGTATGAAATACGGACCACAGAAGACATATTACCAGGCATTGCAATTGGTTCAGTGGCAGCAGTTTCGGAAGGAAAATTAAAGTATTCAATCTATTCTGGAGATCCTGAAAATCAATTTTCCATCGATGAAAACTCAGGGAAAATCTATGTGACCCGATATCTAGATGCGGATGTTCATGATACCGTACTCCTGAACATCCAAGCAAAAATGGAGAACGGAGAGTCTAACCAAACTCAAGTGCTCATCCAAATCGAAGACCATAATGATAATTCCCCAATTTTCCCAAATCCTCTGGTGGAGATTACTGTAAGGGAGGATCATAGGGTAGAGGAACCCTTCTATGTGGTGTTGGCAAGCGATAAGGATCGGAAGAAGAATGGGGAGTTGAAGTATTCCATTATTAGTTCCCACCCAGGCTCTTCTATTGAGATAGACCCAGTTTCTGGGCAATTGTGGAGTCGGAAGGCTTTTGACTATGAAGCTATTCGAAATTTCAAGCTACGGATCAAAGCAACCGACCTAGGGATCCCTCCTAGATCTTCAAATATGACCCTGTTCATTCATCTGCTAGATGTGAATGATAATTCGCCAAAGTTCGAGAAGTCTTCTTACTTCCTAGAAGTTCTAGAGAATTCTCCCCCGAAAACGATTCTAGGGAAGATCCTGGCTAGCGATGCTGATAGTGGTGATAATGGAATGATATCTTATCGAATCACAAACGGATCTGAGTACTTTGGAATCGACTCCAAGCTAGGAACCATCTACACCAAGAAATCGCTGGATAGGGAAACCATCAGTCATGTGGACATCACAATCGTCGCTGAAGACCATGGCACCCCAGTTAGATCTTCCGGGGTCGCATGCAGGATTACGGTAGCTGATATGAATGATAATGCACCTAGCTGCTCTTCCATAACCCCTATTGTGGTATCAAGCGGATCCCCAACCAGCACCGCAATTGGAACTATAGTGGCTAGTGATCCAGATAAAGGGCTGAATGGATCGGTTCTCTATAGAGCGCAATTGCAACACCCCCTATTTTTGGTGAAGGCTAATGGAGATGTCTACCTCAGAAGACGGCTGAATGCGTCGGATGAGCAATTTCAACGGTTATCAGTGATAGTGTCGGATCAAGGCGTCCCACGGAAATCTGTAGTTTGTCATGTAGCCGTGAAAATTGCAAAGGACACCGAGACTGATATTAGAATTCTGGATTTGATCCCAAAATTTTTGGAATTGCCGCAATCTTGCTCTCCTTGTCGATTACTAGCAATCAATGCTTCGGGAGTGGCCACGTGGCAAATTCAAAGCTCCGAAATCTCGAACCACTTTGCTATCCGCCAGGGAGTGCTCTCTATGATCTCGCCACCTGCTCATCGACCCCCATACTCTCTTGTTATCATCCTGAGTGATAAGAATGATAGACAAAAATCGATATCGCTGAAAATCCTGGCTTCTGGAGAGGGTGACACCTACAAAAACGAAATGTTCCAAATTTCGGACACCATGAATATTGGAGCGAAGATTGGAAGGCTGGGCGAGAAGAATCCAGCGTTTTTCTATAAATTTAAGGCGGAAAATAAAACTCAAAATTTGGATTTCTGCCCATTGGAATTAGACCAATCTGCTGGGATACTGTACTTGGCTGATGGGATCCGAGGATTGCAAAATGTCACCTGCTTTTTTGAGAAATTCAACACCACTGATGGAAGTGTCGATGAGATGCGTGTTGAGCTAGAGGTAAGACTTTTTCACTGAAACAAATTCCTTTAAAATGAGCCAAAAATCATGAAAATCGGTTGAAACGGCTTTTCAAAATTCTAATACTCATAACTTTTCAAGTTTTGCTCTTAGCTCCCAAATTCCCAAAGTTTTGAACTCAGCGTGTTTAGAGCTTCGAAATGAGTATAAACACGACTAGGCGCCGCCCACTTTGATTTTTGGCCTTAAAGGCGCAGACCACTGGGGCCAAAAATCGAAATTCCGGAAAGTAGAACGTGTTGAAACTTATTTTGAAGCTCTAAATATGATAAATCTAAGTTGAAAACTTTCAGCTGGAAATTCTTAAGTAGAAACAAGATATGAGTAAAAATCTGAAAATTCAAGATATGCAAAATTTGAAATTTTCATCATAACTTTCGCGACTTCAAGATTTCGAGTGTGAAATTTGTAGATTCAAATTTTGTACGTTTTTAGCTTTAAAATGAATATAAACACGACCAATTTTCCAAAATTTTGAATTTTCACCCCACCTGCGCCTTTAAACTAAAAAAATCGAGATGGGCGGAGTCTAGAAAGCGTTGTAACTCCGTCAGTTTTCGACACAACATGAACATTTGAACAGCATCATATTTGGCTGAAGGAGTGCTTCGAAATGAGTATAAACATGACTCACTTTCCGAAAATTTTATTTTCGACTGATTTTTGGGCCACCCATGCGCCTTTAAAGTCGAAAAATCAAAGTGGGCGGAGCCTAGGCGTGTTTATACTCATTTTGAAGCGCAAAACATTCTGAGTTCAAAAATGTAACAGTTTTGAAAATTGGAGTAAATCCTCAAAAGTTATGGGACTATTTCCAAAAAAAAAAAATTGTCCAAAAAATGTTTCAAACCCCATAACTCAACCAGTTTTTGACCGCTTTTAATGAGTTCAGGCGCGTTTTGAAGGGAATTATTAGCATTTCTGAACTTCGAATGTTATCTATTCAATCATTCAGATTCTTCGCTCGAAATCCGACAAACCCCGATTCGATACGCGGCACCTTACAGTGCACGTGCGGGAGGACACCCCAACGGGATCAATTCTAACTACTGTAAACGCCACGGACGACTCGGATTCACCAATCAATTATCGATTTTCTCAACAAATCGATACTTTCGCAATCGATCAGTTTACTGGAGACATTTCTCTGGTTGAAAATCTTCATTGGCACGTCAAGAACACTTATCATTTGATCGTCGAGGCATTCACCACAGGCGCTGGCTCCACACTTTTGGTTACTATAGATGTGGAAGACGTCAATGACCACGCCCCTTTTATCGTATCCCAACCTACAGTACTCCTACCATCGGCCTATCGAAAAGGGGATACGGTACATCGAGTGGTGGCAATAGATATGGATCAAAACCCCCGGATTGCTTATACCATTCAAAATTATTCGGAGCCAGTGAGCAGTCTGAAAATTGACGTTGATTCTGGAGAAATTCAAATTCTCAACTCCCAGAATCTTCCTGAAACAATTACTGTAAGAGCCGAGGATTCCGAAGACCCCACGAAGTTTGATGAGCAAAAAATCCTGATCAAAGCTCGGAATTTTTCACATTGGCACTTTTTTGAAAAACCCAAGGACGCGATTTTCCTAGAGCCTGGCACACCAAAGGATACTGTAGTTTTAAAAATGAGCAATATTGAAGAGGTCAAGCTACAACTCATTCCAACCTCCCAGTTTTTCGAGCTCCAAGGAGCTCAAATAGTCCAAAAAAGCGTCAATCTGCCAGCCGGAACGCATAGGGTTACTGTAGTTGCTCAGAAGGAGGAGGAGCTCATCGATTGGATGCTTCTGGAGATCCATGTGGCACCGAAGTTTCAGGATCCACCGAAAATTGCATCTACGTCGTGTGGAATGGTTACGGTAGAGGAGAATATGGAGCTGAAAGAGTTCAAAAGGATAATGGCAACTGGAATGACAAATAGCTCAAGATTCAGGTTTCAAGGTAGGACATATTGTAAAATAGGTAGAATTTTGCATTTTAGGCTATCAGAAACCCCAAAAATCCTTTTTCAAAGCTGAAAATTGGTCAAAAATCGCGATTTTAGCACTTTTTCAAAAATTTTGGCAAGATGGCCTTGTGGGTTTTTCGACGTGAAAATTTAAGAATCTCAACACCAGGGTTCGATTCCACCCGGTGGCAAACTCTTTTTTTGTGTTGTGTGGAGTACGGTAGAACTTTTGAAATCGCTCAAAAACGTCGAAATTAAGCGTTTTCTAATATCTATGCACCTTTAAGCTCAAAATAGTGGGCGGAGCCTAACCTGCTTATTTTTCATTTAAACTTCAAAATTTTTACATTTTCGTACTCAACACGTTTTTAGCTTCAAAAAGAGTATAAACATGACCTATTTTCAACGTTTTCGATTTTCGGCCCCACCTATGCGCCTTTAAGGTCAAAAAATCAAAAAATCAAAGTGGGCGGAGCCTAGTCGTGCTTATACTCATTTCGAAGCTCAAAACGCGCTAAATTCAAAAATGAAAGAAATTTGAAGATTGAAGCAAAGCTGCAGAAGTTATGAGGTTTTTAATTTTGAAAAAAATTGATTTTAGTTTCTAAAGCCCAGCACTCGGCGAATTTTTGACCAATTGTTAGGGTTTTAGACTCGTTTTTAAAAAAATCGTCAATTTTAATTTTCTTCCAGGCTCCCCATCCCTTTTCTCCATCGACCCCATCACCGGCTACATTTCAGCAAGTGCGCTGGATCGAGAGACCGCTCAGGAGCACCTTCTAGTCGTGTTGCTCTCGGATTCCGGGCGAAACGACTCGTGTACCGTTCGGGTTACGGTAGCAGATCAAAACGATAATGCGCCCCAGTTCAATATGGACACTCCAGATGAAATATCGATTAATGGATCCTCTCAAATCGGAGACATCCTTTGGAAATTCGCTGGCTATGACTTCGATATTGGGCTGAATGGAAAATTGAGCTTTGATCTTCTAGAAGACTCTTCAAAGAGCTTGGATCTCGTGCCAGAGACTGGGGCTTTGGTGGTCCGCAGATTCGCTCCAACGGACAGCTGGAGGATAAAGGTTCGGGTTATAGATCATGGAAGTCCTAAAGCCTTGGAGAGCGAAAAGGAGCTCAAGATTCTAAACTTTCGGCAGAAAGCCTCTGATTCTAAGGATGTTGAGCCTATCGAATTCCTCCGGCAGTCCTACATCTCCTCCATTGATGAAAGCCTTCCACGTGGGCAATTCGTGGCTAAGCTGGAGGCTTCTGGGGTCTCTGGGGCTTCTGGAATCACCTATAGCATCGTTGAAGGCAATCAGGACTCGGCATTTTCGATAGACTCCGATGGTGTAGTAAGATCTAATCTAGAACTGGACAAGGAGATTTTGGATAGGTACAATTTGAAGGTGATCGGGATTGTTCCGGGAACATCCCCAGCTACACAGATTTCCACTAGAATCGATATTCGGATCAATAACCTGAACGATAACCTGCCAAGTTTCCCAATCTCAAAGCCTCGGAGAGTTGCGGAGAACTTGAAAGTTGGATCTTACATCGCCACAGTTCAAGCTAAGGACATTGATGGTCTAGGCATTCTACAGTACTCCTTAGACTCGCCGGACCCCCATTTTCAAGTCGATCGCTTCACAGGAGTCATTCACCTAGCATCCCCACTGGACTATGAGAGTTCTAAAGAGCACACGATCCATCTTAAAGTCTCCGATGGGGAATTTGATGCCAAAACGAACCTGACCATTTTCGTCTCGGATGTTAACGATAACCCACCGAAATTCTCCAAGGACTTTTACGAATGCCACGTGGCATATTCCCCGGGTCAACCATTCGCAAGGATTGAGGTCACTGACCTAGATTCAGGCTCCAAGTTGAGCTACTCCTTGGCTTCTGACACATCGACTATATTCAAAATTGCACCGGAAACTGGAGCACTATCAATGAAGGTGCTGCCGCCAGTCGGAGAACGATATTTGATTACGGTAACTGCGACGGATAACGGAATACCAAGCTTCTCGACTAGTGTCCCGGTTTTGGTGGTGATTGGAGAGCAGACGCCAACTGAGAAGCCAGTTTTCGAGCGACAAGAGTTTAGGTGAGTCGTTTAGGATCCCTGGTGGCTCTGTAAGGTTTAAAAATGTTTTGAAAATAGCTTCAAAATGCAACTTCAACTCAAAAATTGGCGATTTTAGACCCCCAAACCCCTAAAAATCATGAAACCTAATATTCACACTTTTTCCAATTTTCCGCCCCACTTTTTTTTTGCAAAACTAAGATTTTAGGGTAAAATGAGTATCAAAATTGCATCTCTGACCCATGAAAACCTATAAAACACCTAAAAATCGATACAAATCGAGGTTTTCCAAAAACTCGGTCAGATGGCCTAGTGGATTTTTGGACCTGAAAATTTAGGGATCTCAACACCCGAGTTCGATTCCGCCTGTTGACAAACGTTTTTTGCTTTTGTGCAGACACCTGAAACGATGTTAGAAAAGTCTGAAAATCTCGGAAAATGCAAAATTTCAAATTTTCGAAAAATTTCAAATTTCAAAAAATATTTTTTTTTTGAGTGTTTTTCCCAAAAACTTTATTATAGGGTTTGAAAACTATTAAAAAACGCGTTTCTCACTTATAAAACACTCGAAAATCCACTCAAAACCATGAAAATCCCATTTTTCCGAAATTTTGCACATGTGGCCTAGTGGGGTTTTGGACATGAAAATTTAGGAATCTCAACACCAGGGTTCGATACCCCCTGGTGGCAAACTTTTTTTGCTTTTGTGCAGACACCTGAAACGATGTTAGAAAAGTCTGAAAAACTCGGAAAATGCAAAATTTCAAATTTTGGAAAAAATTCGAATTTCTAAAAATTTTTTTTTTCGATTTTCGCCCAAAAACTTTGTTTTAGGGTTTTGAAATCATCAACAATGCGTTTTTGAATCTTAAAAAACCAAAAAACGCCTCTGAAACCTTGAAAATCGCAACGTTTCCAAATTTTGTATCACATGGCCTAGTGGATTTTTCGCCATGAAAATTTGGGAAACTCAACACCCGGGTTCGATTCCGCCTGTTGACAAAATCTTTTTGTTTTTGTTTAGAGCAACTTTTAGGGGTTCTGGAAGTTTCTAGAAGCTCGATTTATGCTTTTTCGAGATTTCTTTTATAGTTTCCTGAAAAATCCATCATAACTTTTTAATTCTTATCCTAAAATGCTGGAAATTTATTTTTTCCAATTTCTCGCATTTGGAGCTTTTAAATGAGTATAAACATGACCTACTTTCTAGACTTTGGATTTTTGGCCCATACCTATGCGCCTTTAATGTCAAAAAACCGAAAATCCAAAGTGGGCGGAGCCTAGACTTGTGGGTGCTCATTTTGAAGCTAAGAACGCCAGAAATTCATAAATTTAGGTTTCGTTCAAAATTTTCGAATTCGGAGAAAGTTATAATAGAAACAAAAAATTTTATTAACATGAATATTGCAGATTCGAGGTTTTGGAAAACTCCAAAGCCGGTCTCCAAATTGGGAATCTATCCGGTGACACCCGTGAATTCCTCTACAGTATCCAAGACCCCGAAGCTTCGAGAATCTTCCATGTCGACCAATTCGGAAGGCTTTTCGTGGCGGGACCCATTGATCGAGAGTTGAAGAGCTACTACGAGTTTACTGTAGAAATCGAGAACAACGAAATGATGTCCCAAAAGACGCAGTGTAAATGCCACATCACCGTGCTCGACGAAAACGACAATTCTCCAATTTTCACGTCATCTGGATACTCGATTCATCTGAAGGACACCCAAACGACGCATGGGCAGAAGATTGGCCAGATTTTGGCGCGTGACCTAGATTCCGATGAAAATGGGCGTGTCAGCTACCGTATCCTCTCTGGAAATGACTTGAATATCGTCACACTGAACACAGATTCTGGAGTGATTCAGATGAACGAGTGGACCGATTCTCAGTTGGAAGAATTTCCAAATGCCACGTGGCAAATTCTGGTGGAGGCTCGGGACCACGGACACCCATACCGTAGTACAGTTGGAACGGTTACAGTATCCCTGAAAATGTCGTCGTGGAGTGGCTCCGCCCCCTTTTTCGTTTTACCCGTTTATGAGATTCATGTGATGGAGGACACACCGATTGGGACTATGATACAAAGGGTTCGAGCTAGTAATCGATTGGGAATGGAGAATAAGGGATTACTGTACTCATTAAAGGAACATGGAGGGGTGAGTCAAATCCTCGTATTTCGAAAAAAATTGGAATTTTTAACTTCAAAATGAGTTGAGACATTTTGATCCCAAAATTCTTTTGTTAGATTTTTTTAACTACCGTAACTCAAACAGTTTTTCTTCAAATCACATGAAAACAATATTTTTGAATTTAGCTTGTTTTGAGCTTCAAAATAAGTATAATCACGGCTAGGCTCCGCCCACTTTGGTTTTTGCGACTTTAACGGCGCATAGGTGGGGCCAAAAATAAAAATTCTGGAAAGTAGGTCATGACTATACTCATTTTTAAGCTTATGTTAAGACAAACCGATTTATCGCAGTTTTATTCAATTTGAACCAAAACTGAACTTGGAATTACGACCTTTTTGGTCCAGCTTATTCCTCAAGACTTTTCAAACTACCGTAACTTGGGCAAATTTGCTTCCAACTTAAAATGTTTAGTTTATCTTAATTTCGCTTGTTGATAGCTTCAAAAAAAGTATAATCATGACCCACTTTCTCAAAATTTCCATTTTCGGACCCCTTATGCGCCTTTAAGGTCAAAAAAGGCCTAAAAACCAAAGTGGGCAAAGCCTAGTCGTATTTAGGCTCATTTTAAAGCTCTAAACCTGATAAACTCAAATTATTTTGAAATTTAAAAGTTTAGATTAAAATTCAGCAAGTTAAGGTTAAATCAAAAATTGTTCATCAATTTATAAAAACAATTTTTAATCATAACTTTCTACATTTTCACTCAATTTCGAAAATCATTGCATTTTTGAAGTTTCCACATTTTTAGCTTTAAAATGAGTATAATCATGACCTACTTTCCTTGTTTCTCAAACTTTGGACCCCTGTGCGCCTTTAAAATCAAAAAAATCAAAGTGGGCGGAGCCTAGTCGTGTTTAGGCTCATTTTAAAGCTGAAAACGCGCCAAACTTGAATTTTCAACTTGTCTAACTGAATTCCAACATTTTCAGAAGCTAAGCATCGATGTAAAAACTGGAGAAATCACTCTGAAAAGTCACCTGGATTGGGAATCTGAGCCCCTCATTTCAATGTACCTCTCGGTGTCCGATGGAAATGGGCGGTCAGCCGTGGTCCCATTAAAAATTATGGTAGAACCTGTGGACGAGTTTGCGCCAGTTTTCACAAAGTCTTCGTATAGGCTACAGGTAAAAAAGTTCAAAAAAAATTTTATGTTGGAAATTTTAAATAAAGCTGAGCAATCTTGCAGATTCCAATTTCTACCCCGGCTGGAGAGTCTGTGGGTCAAATGCAGGCAATTGATGAGGACGGTGGAGCACATGGAATCGTGAAATACTCAATTTCAGACCGTCAGAGTACTGTTACAATTGAAGAGGACACTGGAATTGTGAGTTTTGCGCGTTGTAATTTTAATTCAGGGTTCAAAAACTATCAAAAACGCGTTTTCCGACTTAAAAACCCCCAAAAACGCTCGTAAAACCATGAAAATTGCACTATTCCGAAAATTTGCACATATGGCCTAGTGGATTTTTGGACATGAAAATTTACGAATCTCAACACCAGGGTTCGATTCCACCTGGCGTCAAACTATTTTTGCTTTTGTTTCAGACACAGAAAATGTATTTTGCGAGACTAAAAACTACAAAAACCGCGAAATTTCAACTTTCTAAAAAAATTCAAATTTCCAAAAAACAATTTTCAAATTTTCGCCCAAAAACTGCATTTTAGAGTTTGAAAATCATCAAAAACGCGTTTTTCAACATTAAAAACCCCAAAAACGCCTCTAAAACCTTGGAAATCGCAATTTTCCGAAAATTTGCACATATGGCCTAGTGGATTTTTGAACATAAAAATTTACGAATCTCAACACCCGGGTTCGATTCCACCTGGCGTCAAACTCTTTTTGCTTGCTTTTTAAGCATAATTTAGGGGTCTAAAGCCTCCTGGACCATGCCAAACGGATTTTTCAGAATTTCAAAAAAAAATTCAAATTTCGAAAAAAAAAAATTTTGATTTTTTTTCCAAAACTCTCATTTTAGGCATTAAAATCTGAAGAAAACTCATTTTTCAACTTAAAAAAACCCTCAAAATGCTTCTGAAACCTTGGAAATCGTGATTTTCCAAAAATTTGCACAGATGGCCTAACGGTTTTTTCGACATGAAAATTTACATCCGGGTTCAATTCCACCGGGGGCCAAACTTTTTTTTATTTTATTTCGTGGCATAAATTGAGAACTTTAAGACCAACTGGACCATTCTAAAGGTCTTTTTTAGAATCTTTAAAAATTTTAGGGTCGAAAATTCGAATTTCGATTTCAGATCCGTCTCCACAAGTCTCTCTCCTCTCGTCGTAACTTGACCATCGAGCAGATTACTGTGCTAGCTTACAGTAGCCCAAATAAACAAACCAAAACTACAGTCTACCTGGAAATTGGTCCATTTGATGTGCAACCGACGCTTCCGAAACTATTACTCCACTCTAAACCCGTTCAAATCGCCGCAGCCTCTCTCATTCTGCTTCTCGCCCTTCTTATTATTGTAATCTGTGTCTGTATGTGTAAATCAAGGAGTCAGAAGAAGCATCCAGAGATTCTGAAGCCTTCCGAGCCCCGACGTACGTCTCAGAAGGCTCCAAAAACCATTCAAAAACAAGTGTATTCGGTGAAAACCGGGGAGATTCGAACGCTTTCCGGCGATCTACCCCATCATTTTCCATCTAATTCAATGACGTCATCTGTGTCGACGTCTTCTGATGCGCTTCGTATTCTGCGTGCAAGTTCGAGAAGTCAAATGGATTCGGGAATCGATCCGGATAATGTCTCTATCAATTCTTCGGTTACCGATTATTTGGTGTCTCTGGGAGTTAATGCGAATCCGATTCCGCCGAGAATAAGGTGAGAAATTTTAATTTTGGCTGAAAATTTGAAAATTTCAGCAAATTCTGGTACTATCCAACTGTAAGTGTAGCCAGTAGAAAATGTAGGAAATCCCTGTAGATGTAAAAAACAAGACATATCTCAAAAACCAGATGAACTATCAAAAAATTGTGAACTACAAAATTGCTCAGCACAAACTTTTACACAGTTTTGTAGTTTACTACTTTTTGATAGATACAGTAGTTTTTGAGATGTGCGCCTTTAAAGTTAACGTCCAAGCTCACGAGGAGAAGAGGTGCAGTCAAACGTAGCGCATAACTCAAAAACTACGGTAGCTAGCAAAAAGCGGTAAATTGCCAAAATATGTTAAATTTTATGCTGATCAATTTTGCAGTTAACACAAATTTCATTGCTTTTTTTCTTCTTGAGATATGCGCCTTTACAGTTGCTCCACCCCTCTATGCTTCCCTCTTCGCCGCCACCACCGGTGGGGCTAGCCTACCTTTAAAGGCGCATAACTCAAAAAAAACTACGGTAGCTACTAGCTAGCAGAAAATGGTAAATTACAAAAATGTGTCAAACTTTACGCTGAAAATGTTTGTAGTTGGCAAAACTTTGATTGCTACAGTAGTTTTTGAGTTATGCGCCTTTAAACTTGGCGCGTCTCCCACTCCTTCGAGTCGCTGGTGCGCTAAGATGTGTCCATTTTATAGGCGTATATCTCAAGAACGAAAAAAGCTAGCTAATTTTTGTTAACTATGAAACTGTTTAAAATAAAATTTTACACTTTTTACTAGTTAATTACTTTTACTTACCTCTCACGTTTTTGGAGATATGCGCCTTTAAAGTTGGCCTACCCCACCCCCCCCCCCCCCTACTCTTCCCTCTTCGGTGGGTGGCGCGTTAACTTCAAAGGTGAATATCTCAAAAACTAGACTAGCTATCAAAAAGTTATTAACTACAAAACTGCTCAACATAAATGTTTACACATTTTCATAATTAAACAATTTACAGTAACTATCCTAGTTTTTTAGTTATGCGCCTTTAAAGACCCCGCCCCTAAACCCCATGAACACCTTCCATCTCCCTTCTACCTGTAGAAACTCTTACAAAAACTAGCTCTATACTAAAATCAACCTATTTTAAATCTATTTTTCCTGCTTCCAAGCTTTAAAAACCATCGCTAACCCTTCAAAATTCACAGGCACAATACGACATACGACTCGCTGATGAACGAGTACATTTACGCGCGTGTCGAGGACGTTCTTCCGCCCGGACCCATCAATTTGAGCACGCCAAGTCAGCATTCGCTTCTAAGACAACCACTTTTGGTAAGACCAACAAATATAGGCCAGCCCTTTTTTTTTTTTTTGAAATTTTTTGAAATTCCAATTTCCAGACCGCCGCCCGACGTCCACAAATTCCGGCTCCGTCGTTTGAGCCGCTAACTGAGATATTCTCGGAAATTGTCGAAATGCAAAAAGCCGAAGAATCGAATCGCCATCGAAAAGAATATGTTCAGGTGGAAATCTAGGCCACGCCCCCTTTTTTCTAGTCATTTTTAACTTCCCATCCTACTAATACGGTTCTAATTTTTTTTTTAATTTTTCTAATTTTTCCCAAAATCTCAGGTCTTTTTGAGCTTTCTATGCCTTAATTTTTCTAAAATTCCAAAAATTCTGTTCTCCATATGATTTTCTTGCCTTTCTTTGCGTTTTTTTTTTGTTTCTGGTGCTAAATAAATTGTTCAAATAATTTTTATTATTGTTGCCTAATTTTCAAAAAAAAAAGTTCTTGAATGTTAGAGTTTTCATAATTTATCTGTAACTGATTTCGGTTTGAAATTTTAAAAAAATCCGAACTTTCTCAAAAATTCATATCGAAAAAAATAAAAAAGCTATTTAAAAACTGTCAACTACAAAATTGCTCAGCATAAAATTTTACACATTTTTGTAGTTTACAACTTTTTGTTAGCTACAGTCGTTTTAGAGATATGCGTCTTTAAAGTTAACCACCCGCCGCCCCCTTTCATGTGACAGAGGAAGCGGTAGACAAGGGTGAGCTAGCTTTAAAGGTGCATATCTCAAAAACTACGGTAGCTAGCAAAAAGAGGTAAATTATAAAAGTATGCCAAATTTTATGCTGAGCAATTTCGTAATTAACAAAAATTTAATTGCTTTTATCGTTCTTGAGATACGCGCCTTTAAACTTTTGCGCGGCGCCAGCGTCTCACCCATCCCACATTTGCACGCGTTAACTTTAAAGGCGCATATCTTCAAAACCTCGGTAGCTAGCAGGAAGGGCAAAACTACAAAAATATGTCGAATTTAATGCTGAGCGATTTTGGAGTTGACAACATTTTGATAGCTTCTATCGTTCTTGAGATATGCGCCTTTAAAGTTGGCGCGCTCCACCCCCGATTTTCATGAAAACTTATGTTGCAAAAATTTGCCTTGTCGTCATCAGTTATCGTCTCCTAATGGAAAAACGACCGCCCGTATTTTCTTTTTATTTTTCGGTCTTCGAGAACATTCCCTCCGACCGTTTCGATCAGATAAATCATCAATAACAGAATATCTACACGGGTCTTCGCCATCTTCTACCCCCGAGATGGGCGGTTTAACGGTTTTTTCGCATACGAAAAGTGCAACATTTTCGAAAAAGGAAAAAGGAAATAGTATGGGAAATCGAGAGGGTCTAGAGAAACGACGGATAGGTAAGGTAAAACGTAAAACGTCCCTGAGAAACAGTTAGAATATATCATTGGGTTTTGATATAATGGCGAGATAAATAAGAGAATTCCTGGTTTGGCCCCAAAATGGGCGGAGCCTGACAAGAATTGGGGTTTAAAAGGCAGCCATCGTAAACAGTTTTATGTCATATTAACTTTTTATCGCTTTTTATTCGCTTTTTTCGGGTAGGGGCGGTGCAAACGCGCTCCAGCGCTCTTTTGGCGTTCTCTGGCGGGAATCCGAATTATTAGTGAGTTTCCAGGGGGTTTTCGTGTTTTAAGCGAATTTCTAACAAAATTTCGAAGTTTTAAAACTAGTTTTCAGCATTATCAGCGCTTTTTACGCTTTTGCGACAGATTTTGGTGTTAAAATTGGTTTTTTCAGGATTTTAGCGATTTTTGACGGTTTTTTAACACTTTAAAGTTATTCCGACCTAATTTTTTATAATTTTCTCACTTTTTTAGGTTGTTTTCCCGTGTTTTGTGAGATTTTTCGCTTTTCCGACATTTTTTTCGATTTTTCAAGAATTTTTTTCTTTCGGGGGTACGGTAGTTGGGAAGTTGTGTGGTCGGGGTGTTTGCGTATGCGCCGGCATTTTAGTTGACGACATGGATTTTTATTTTTATTTTTGGCGATTTTCCGGGGATTTTAAACTTTTTTTCGGTGTTTTCGAAAGTTTTAAAGTGGAAAATATCAATTTTAATATAAAAAAATTTTTTCGTAATCTTTAAAAGCTTTCTCTGTTATTTTTTGAAAATTTTCAATTTCCGGAAATTTCAAAACATCATTTTTCCTCTAGTTTTACAGCTTTCCAGGACTATTTTTTAGGGTTTTAAGCCAATTTTAGCCTCTAAAACATCAAAATTTTGCCCTGAAACCCCCAAAAAGCGATTTTCAAATATACAAACTACAGTAATCCCTTAAAAAGCGCATTGCATCATTCCCATTTCCATCTCTCCAGAAGTGTCATGAAAAACAGGAAAAAGGACAGAAAGCGAGAGAGTGGAAAAAATGAAGAGACGCAGAGAACAAAAAAAAATGGGGAGACTTCCAACCTTGTTTACATCCCGCGTCCGTTTTTTGATCTTTTAACAGAGAATACGACGAAAACAGAGGAAAAATGAAAAAACGACACATTTTAAATGTTTAGACAACATTTTGAAAAACCCGCCAAAAATATGGAAATTTTGAAAAAAAATTTTTTTTCAAAAATTTCAAATTTCCCGCCCATATCACTCTATTGACTTTTCGTGAGGGGTATTGATCATTGAAGCCCTTTCTCAAAGTTTGCACACAAAAAGTTATTTTTAGTTTTATATTTTTTGCTGTTTTTAAACATTTTTATGGACATCTGGACACTTGGAAACACATTGGGACATCCGGACATCCGGACCGACAGATCGATTTTTCTTATTTTTTGCAATAAAAAAATCGCTCCGATTTTTCTTGTTTTTATCATATGACAACTATAAAATAGGTGTTGCGGGAAGAGAGAGAGAGAGACGCAGAGAAGTTTTTTGACACAGTAAAACCCCCATAAAAAAACAACATGACCATATATGGTTAGTTTTTTTTTGTTATGTTAACACACTGCAATGTCATATCAGCTGATTTGGATTTTTGGGTCATTTTGGTCAATTTTCAGCAATTTTAAGGTCATTTTAGGCCAACTTGGATCACTCTAGGCCAATTTTGGATCAATTTGAACCTATTTGGACTATTTCAACCAAATTGGATTATACATATGAATTATTTTAGGCTATTTAAGGTCGAATTTGACAAGATAACGGTTATTTTGGACCAATTTAGCGTGTTTTTAACCAATTGGAAATGCTAGTGGATATCTGGACATTGGGATGCACAGATAGCGGTAGATTTGATCTAGAAAAGCCTTGGGCATACGGTCAGTCAGAAATCTATTCTGCGGAAAGTTCCAGTTCATATACAGATGAGCTAAAGGACATCTGGACATCCGGACCCAAAAAAATCCACTAGCCAAGACATCTTGCCTGTCTGCGTCTCCAGGAGGACATCCGGACATTCGGATGTCCTTCTGACCATTTCGGACAACCTAGCGGACATCTGGACCCACAGACAGGCCTTCTGGATACTAATAGATCCGTCTGGATCCTTCTAGATCCATCTAGACACTTCAAGATCATTTTGGGTTCTTCTAGACACTTCTAGCTCCTTCTAGATTCTTCTGATTCCTTCTGGATCCTCCTGAATGCTTTTGGAGCCTTCTAGATCCTTCTAGATCTTTCTAGTTCCTTCTAGACACTTCTAGATTTTTCTGGATCTTTCTAGATCCTTCTAGATCCTTCTCGATCCTTCTAGATCCATCTAGATCCCTGTCTGTGGACATGCGGACACACAGACACACCCAAGCAGATGTCTCAAAGAGCGTCCAGCTGTCGGGAAAGACATCAACTTTGTTTTGCGAGGAGTGTCATCCTTCTCTCTCTCTCTCTCTCTGCGTCTCGCTCGCTTTCTGTGTCTCTCACCCTCTCCACACGTCGTCTGCGTCTCTTCCACCCTAGTCAATCTCTCGTGTTTCATTTACCCTTCCCCGGGTTTCCTGCTGGACGGTTCTGATTTTTTTTTCTTTGTTTTCGCAACACTTTTTTGGGTTAAATTTCTTAATTTCAATTTTTTATTCAACGGAAAATTGGAATTTCGAATTTCTCGTGCGTTTTTTTTTCCCGGATTTTTCTAACCCGGAAATCGACGAAATTTGATTTTCTCTTGGTTTGATGTTTGATCATCTACTTGAAATGCTGTCAAATTGATTTGCTGTCATTTTAGAGCGTTTTTAACATCAAAAATCAAAATTTCCAAAATTTTAAAGCCTAGTTGGCCTAGATTTGGTTTTCTAGGCCATCATTGGACGGCCACTTCGATTCTCGTTGAGTTTCAGCTGTTGTTAAAGCGTCTTCTCTGCATTTTTAGTGTTAAAATCCAATTTATTACACGAACCGGTTTGGAAAAGTTAGGCCATCACTTTGAATCACTTGATTTTGAGCTGTTTTTCCTCCGTTTCAGAGCGTTCTTCATAGTTTTTCAGAGCATTTTAAGTATCGAAATCGTCTTCTCCATAAAATTCTGTCCTTGATGGACTAGGTTTGGTTTTCTAGGCCATGGGTTTGCAAAAGCTAGGCCACCTTCAAAAACTTCTCATTTTCGCTCATTTTTGGTCATTTTTCGTAGATTTTTTGGTTTAGAGTTATTTTTAGTGGATTTTAGGCTATTTTTCACCATTTTTAAGTCATTTTTGACCAAAAATTACTACATTTCAATTTCCCCTCTTTTTCCCTATATTCTGTTGACAGTTTGGCTAGGCTATATGACATTTGGGTGGGATCGAGAGGGTAATGAAACCTTCTTCTTCTTCGTCTTCCCACAAGACGTCTTCTTCTTCTTCTACTTTATTCGTTTCGTCTTCTGACGTCTTCTGAATTCCTATGCGAAATGACTTCTAGTTTTTTTGCGTTTTCTGGAGTCATCTAGATCCTTCCAGAGGATTTTAGAGCCTTCTAAATGCTTCTAGAGCCGTCTCGATCCTTCTAGATCCTTCTAGATCATTCTAGAGCCTACTAGGTCCTTCTGGATCCTACTAGATCCTTTTGGATGCTTCTGGGTCCTTCTGGAGCCATCTAAGCTAGCTTATAGCTTGAAAATTTGGCAATTTTGAGCCATAAACAAGCACATAAAACTGGGGAGAGTTGTTTTTTTTTTCTCTAAATCTCTCACTCTCTCGTTATTTTCTACTTGTTTTCTTTCTTTCCCCAAGACCGCACCACAA